GAGATGGACTAAAAAAAAAAAAAAATGCAGGGTTCCCGAGAACGATACTTTGGTGGAACCCTATCGCGGTTCAGGACAACAGCACCACAGAGATTTTGGAGATACATTGCACCGCCTCAAATAAAGTAAATTCACTGGATCCTGGGAAAGTAACGCCAAGCTCCGCTTGTGGTCGCTATCTTGGTCCATGAAATGAGCAAGTTCTCCTTGACCCCTCCGTTCTTGGTGAGCCTATCTAGATTCGCTGGTGACGGGTAGCTTTATTGAGTCGTTTTTTGTATACCGAGATTTCGCTAACCACACACCGGCGAAACAGGCGTACACGTTCGTACCACCACCAGATGCTGTGTCGGTGCTTGGAGACACTGAAAAATAAGTTTACTGCCTTGAAATGCGCAAGAAGAACAATATAATTGCAAGAGATCCATGGAGATGGGCCTGATTAATAAGTTGATTGCATACGAAGTGCCAAAGACTCTTATATTGAAGAGGAACGCTTCCAGTACGATGATACTCCATGGTGATCTTGGCGCGACTGGTTTAGAACGACCCCCTGGAAGCTTCGAAGATTTAAATGGACCAAGATGGCGATTTCCATGGCAATGTAGGCCGATTAGCCAATCGCCTTGCGAGGTTTGGGTCGTCTGTATGTTAGTATCCGTTTGTGTCCGGCTAGCAGGTAGGGAAGGCAATGGCGCTACTTTCCCAGGATCCAGTGACTTTAAAATAAAGTAGAGTACATTGTCAAGAACAGGGGTGTCATCTGGGATCCCATCGCTATGGTCGAGAAGTTCAATGAATATTTTAGTTCCGTCCATTTTTTATTCGAGTACTTGTCCAGTGAGCCATGTACATAGTGATGGCGTTGATGTGGCCATGCCAGTCCTTGTCATTTCTTAAACTGGCGTCTTGTCACTTCTCTTAAATATTAACACATCTCGAATGAATTTCTCAAGCGACATGCGGAATGGGTTGCCAAGTATTTAACTATTCTCCAAGTGTCACTAAAACAACACAGTGTACTACAGACTGGCTGTGTGCCAAAGTTACCCCCGTTCACAAATGTTGTAACAAACACCACGTAACCAATTATCGACATATTTCATTTACATGCACGTGTAGCAAACTTTTCGAACATATAAGTTCCAAAAGTTTTTATGACCCTCTCGAGCATCAAAGTGTTTTTCATGGAAATCAGCACGGTTTCAGATGTGGTCTGTCAACAGTGACTCAGTTACTAGAAACGTTTGGCGCTTTTTCCTGCTCCTCTAATAAAAGAAGCCAAATCGATTCAGTTTGTTTAGATTTATCAAAGGCCTTTGATCGTGTATCGCACAATAAATTTATTTAAAAAAAGAAAAACTAATTGCATACGGCGTTAATAGGGACGTAGTTTAATGGATCCGTGCGTACTTGTCCAACAGGACACGATTTGTGACTTTTAGCGGGAAATTGTCTACTACTTGCGGAGTAGGGTCGAGGAATCCCGGACAAAAGCTCACCGGACAAAGGCTCACCGGACAGAAACTCACCGGACAGAAACTCACCGGACAAAATCTCACCGGACAAAAGCTCACCCATTTTTTAACAGACCCGGACAAAAGCTCACCAGAAGAAAATTTCATGTTGGTCTTATAGAGAACCCAAGTTTAGAGAAAAAGGCGATGAGCCCCCTTTTAGCGAATTCGGCCACCGCGAAGCGGCGTGTATTGATAAGTCAAGTGAGTTAACAGTTTTGTAATGAGCCGCCGCAGACTGCCGCCGCAAAGCGGCGGGAGCGCAGCACGTGGGCTTGGGTTCACACGCGCACTAGTGATACACACGAGAAGTAGAAAAGCCTTTTTTAAATAGCGTTCCCTTTTCGATAAACGGCATATCTCTAAACTGAGGCTCTGCTTTCTCTAAACCGTGCTTCGATAAAACGTGCCCGTTCTCTAAAACGTGTTTCGACAAAATGGCATTCATGATCAACCGTAGTAAACACTTGCGTGCGATGGGGTACAAGTTCACCTAAAATTGGTGCAATGTCCATCGCGTCCACATTTTATTTCAGCCCGTGCGTCGACCGGGTAACGAAAAAAAAAATGAGGTGAGCTTTTGTCCGGGTCTGTGAAAAAACAGGTGAGCTTTCGTCCGGTGAGCTTTTTTCCGGTGAGCTTTTGTCCGGTTACCAGCGTCGAGGGTCCCGCAGGGATCAGTTTTTATTTTTACGTTACTTTAACGATATTGTTGACGAAGTTGGCTTTGGCGTTACTGTGGGGATATTTGCGGATGATCTCTTGCTATACACTGAAGTAAATTTTAGAATTCCCAGGTAAACCAGGAAAACTTAAATTTTTTATAGACTTGAGCGTGTTGGTAATCTACATTGACTTAAAACGAAAGAAACACACAAGAGGTGTGAAAGATAAGGAATGAAAATGAACCGTGAAAAAAAAAGAAAAGAACGTTTTCGTCAAAATCACGAGTAAAAAAAAATCCTTTCCTTGGTATATAAAGTAGGAAACGACCCCATAGCGACAGTTGATCACTTTCAATATTTACGAGTTGAAATATCGGCGGATCTAACGTGGAAACGTCCTATCGACAATTTGTGCAGTACGTCTCGGAAAAAAAAGTATGGTTTTCAAAGCGAAGCCTGAAGAACGTCATAAGTTAGGTGAAGCTAACCGCTTAGAACAACACTCTTATACATCCGACCCTGGTATATGCTTGATCCGTATAAAACCCTGACAAAAAAAAAAAAAAAAAAAAAAAAAAAACCTTAAAGGCAGGCGGCTTGCTTTATTCTTTCTCGGTATAGTCGCCTCGACTCGGTTACTAGCATGCTGCTTGAACACCTCAAACTTCCTCCTCGGTACAGTAGACGAGAAATTGCCAGACTAAAGTTCCTTTTCATGGTTTCACAAAACTTACTCAATGGGGACACTTCTCGCGTTTTTAAAACCACGTGTAGCGAGACCAGTAAGGGGAGAACAGGTCCCTTCAAATACCGCGAGTTAATAATAATACCTATAGGTACTCTTTTTTTTTTTTTTTGTTAGGACAGTAGATGCTTAGAACAGGCTTCCTGAAAATGTTGTTAATTATGACACATTGGAATCGTTTGAAAAAGGTTCAATGGAATTATATTAATTTTTGTACGCGTTTTTTCTACCTAATTTCTTACCTTTGTCGCACTTCGTGAGTAGCATGATGTGAAACAGTGCAGTTGTGCTTTCAAGTGGCATATCTGTCTCATGTATCTTATTTTGTATGTTCCATTCCTCTAATGCTCCCAATAGGGTGCAAAGTATTTATAAATAAATAAATAAATGAAATGTTGCGCGCGTGGAGAACTGGAGAAAAACACGCAAGTGTTATCTGACTGGTGGCATAAGTCGAGGAAAGAATGATTATTTTCTTATTTTATTCCTGGTGATCCCTAACAAGGAGTGGGGGGGGGGGGGGGGGGGGGGTTGTGATGATGCGCTTCCGTCACACAAATCAGGTTACAAACATTGGTGCACATCTAAGGTCTAGACGTTTGGTACACTGTACAAATGATGTATATTAGCAGTTTAGATGAGAAACACTAGCACGATGGCGCAACCCATCACCCGATTCAAGGAGCTCTAGCTTTTATCCATCTATCGATGCATCCAGCTTTGTGAGACAGCTCTGAGAAGTCGCGTCGGTATAACTGTTTGTCAAGTTCTCCAGCGGCCGGCAGATAAGCGTCTACCTCGCCAAGCGCACAGTTCTATACGCCATTAGACAAAGCACCCGAGGGGACAGAAATCTAAAGTCAGGTTTGTGCGAAGTACACCACCCATTAGCCAGTTTTCTGCGCATGCCCAATGCGATGCCCCAAGCTGTTCGGGGCACCCAAAGCTGTGGGGCCCCCTATTATAAACACTCGCTATCGTGTACTCCCAGTCTCATTGATCAGTCTCATTTGTTCGTGGGCGCACTGGCCGCTTCAAGAATCTCGATTTCTTTGGAGAATGCATCGCGCAGTGCGGGGTTGACGCGCGGGCAGTTACGGCTGACCAGATGGGAATGTGAGGAGCGCACGGCTGCTCTTCCCAGAACCCCCGAAACAACGCGCGCTGACCCACTTGTTGCCGTCGCCGAACAAGGAAAAAGTCGTAGCTGCGCTGTTCCTCGCAGCGCGCCAAGGGAAAGGAGGCTGGAAATACAACAGCAGTATAGCAAGAGCAACATCACCAGCATCACAAAATGCAGCTCTCGCTTCTCCAAAGGGCTGCTTTGTTTTGTTTTGTTTTCCCGTGTGGGCGCCTTTGGAGGGCCGCTGCGTGGATGCAGCACTGCGTCTTCGTCGGAGGCCTCGCCGGTCCGCCCGACGTGCTTCCCGCGTCGGCCCTTTCGATGCGGCCCCGGGAAGGACGCCTGGCTGGTCCCTTCTCGCGTTTCATTCTCACGGTTCGATGTTTGCCACGGCGTTATCTGTTCACGGTTCCGAAGGTATGACATCCGCGAAAGGTGTAACGCTTAATCTATCGGCGGCCTATGTTTAGGTATTCGCACACCAGAGCTTCGCGCGCTACGCTACCGTGTTGAATCGGAGTTTGGATGGGTACGGCGACTCATCTCGAAACGTGTGAAGAGATCGCAGCGACACAGATTGAATGCGGATGCGAGTGTTTGTGTTCCGAAGACATGGCGCGATCGCACACCTTGGTATGGCGCAAAATCGGGTGATGCATTTGGAGGCGTTATTGTGTATGTTTACGTCGTGAGTGCTTTTTTTTTTTTTTTGGCAAGGGGGCGGGCTCTTAAGTTGGAGTTCGGTGAGACGCTGTGAAATGTCTTCATAAGACGGTTCACAAGAAAGCTGTGAACCTGTCCGCAGCTTATCGTTGTCCGTATCGTGCCGCGTTCGCAACGTGGAGCAGCCGTTCCCACGTTCTACGGGCAGTCTTGTAGGACACGGGCTGTTTCGTAAAACAAATCTTAGAAACTGGTAAAAAAAAATAAGTTGATGCCACACCAAGTGGTAAATACAACAACATTCGTTTATTTGTCGTACCTTGCAAGGAAAAAAATACAGCAGTCAAAATGAATTACATATATACACGAGTTATAAAAATGGAAGCTGCACCTTGGTCCTTTTACAGCAATTTGTTTTTCTATAATAAACTGGTTTGTTTTCTTGTAGGAAGCCGTTGCGTTTTTTTTTACAAGGGCGGTATATTACAGTAAGCTCGACGTTCGTTGAACTGGAATGGTTGCTTTTAAAATAATTGGTTCCCGAACACAGTAAACGTGACCCGCGTAGACTCGTCGCTTAATAACAACAATACTTACAATGGGAATAATAGGGTAAGAGAGTGAGGGGAACATGGGAGAGAGAGGAACGAGCGGGAAAAAAAGACTCTTTATACAGAAATATTATTAGAACAGAGATAAGCAACCCGCCGCAGAGAAGAATGAGAAGGACGTGAAAAAGAGCAAGATGGGATCAAACCGAGAACTCGAGGAAGAAAAAAAAAATCACCAAAGAGGATGACGAAAGAGATAACCTCCATTGTTCCTTTCGATTGGAAGAATAGCTGAACCTCGGTAAGCGAACATAAAATGTATACAACATTCAAAGTTTCACTTCCCCAAAGGAAATTGAAAGAACCCGATTCACCGCATGCTGATTCCTTCGTAACAGCGGCAGCTTTGTTTTTCGTCGGTGTCCAAAACATTAAATACCCCTAATTTTCTTGTTTTGTTTTTGCGCACATAACCTAGAAATTAATGAGGTAAATATAATTAGCCTAGTGGATTGATTCGATCTCTTCCTAGCGTAAAACGGCAGCGATTTTCCGGTTGAAAATTCGCGCGTCCTCGTGGTAACAAGCGGTTCTAAATCGAACAGTCGTACGTTGGAAGACAACGAAAGTTGCCTCGGAAAGTGGGCGGCGCGGGGCCCCGTGGGCAAGCGAGCATTTCGTCACTCCTCTCGTGACAGGGTTGTTGTTGGTCCGCGCGTCTCTTTTCCTCTCTGTGCTCCGCAAGTGACGTTACCGAGCGCTTCGCAGTGGATTGTCGTGGCACTTTAAGGATCGTCCCGGGGTTTTCACCAGCCGCCGTGACCGCCGCCGCCGTAGCCGCCGCCGCCGAATCCGCCGCCATGGCCGCCCCCGAAGCCGCCTCCGAAGCCGCCGCCGCCGTAGCCTCCTCCGTGGCCGCCCCCGAAGCCGCCACCGCCGAAGCCACCGCCGCCAAAACCACCACCGCCGAAGCCGCCGCCGCCGTGTCCTCCGTGGTACGTGTGCTTCTTGATGTAGACCCTGCAAGACGACAAGAGGGGGACACCGTCAGTGGACGACTGCCGGTCGCGGCACTTGGCCGCGAAAGCGCTCATGTCCTCCCATGGGAGTCGTGGGCTGCTTGTCAGGGCGGCACAGTGAGAACACGCATGGTTACATCTGAAATACGTTGGCTGTACTTGGAAACGATAAGGAGTTTTATGCCCCCACGCGTTGGGTTCCCCAAACAGATAAGGTTACCCAATCTGTTTGGGTTCTAGACCTGTCTGATAAAACCGACATAAAGCGAAGGAGGATCTGTTAGTTGCCCTTGCCTTCTACAAACCCCGGTATGTTGAGCGTTCGTTAAACTCACCACAACTACACTCCCAAAAATGGGAGGTGTAGTACGTACACCTCTTGTCCCTTATATAACACCCCAAAAACTATCAATTCGACGTTGCCCACTCAGGTAGAAACGACGATATCAACTTTCATGAGCGGCTTGATAGTCGAGTGATTCAACTTTTTAATATAGATAATGCACGCATTAAAGACAACAAAAAAAACACTCAAGGTTTTGTTGGCCCTGCTGCAAAATCAGTTCTGTTTTCCTGTAGCCTTTGCTACGTACAGTAACTATTTAGTAAGTTATATCGCGCACCTATCAAGCCGCCCGTAAAAGTTGGCATCGTCAGTTTCACGTCAGTGGACTGAACGTCGAAATGTAGTTTTCGGGTGTTATATATGAGGCAAAGGGTGTAAGCACTACACCCCATATGTCTGAGAGTGTATTGGAAATGGAAGACATCCGTGGGTGGTCACATCAGCGTGCCCATTTCGCTTTTGTTCAGGAGAGGCCATTTCCAGCCTACGAACAGGCGGAAGGTACGAGACGCGACAAGGAGGCCCGCATTTTGAACAGGTCGGCGTTGCTTCCGCTCAAACAGCCTGAGACAGCGTAGCGTACGGAAGAGTACGCACACACGCGCGAAGCGGAAGACTCGTGTCGTACCTCAACGCTCTCATGCTCATTCGATTCGCCAGACGCGGGCAGGGGCGTCGAGCTCAACTGCACCCAGGCCACGCGTGGCCCGAGCAACCTAGATGCTCCCAACACTCCAGCGTTTCGTCACGGCCGCCAAGAAACAAAACGGGAGACATCTCCACTCGTGCGAAGAAGACGACTCGTCTTTCCAAGGGCGCTTTTTACGAGTAACAGAGGTGGGAGAGAAAGAGCCCTTCTTCAGAATTTGCGCGGGGGGTCCCAAAGGGGTTCCCTTTTTTTGAGGTCAGCGGGCCAAGAAAAGAGCGTCATTCTTTCCCGCACGCGCTCTTTCGCGCGCGCGACGCGTCAGTTCTTGTTTGCCTCTTCGTAACAGTGTGCAGCCCCTACTACCAAGGACCGTCGTGCGGCGGCTCTCCCCGCCGCGCCGGAGACTGCGTGTCTCCCGGCCACGTCAAGGGCATGCCGAGCCGACGAGGCCGGAGCGAGTCAAGGCCTCGTCGAGGTCGGTTGAACAACCCCCTTGTCGAAGCGCTTGTGTCGGATCGCGTCGGGGACCTGACAGACAGCGGCGCTTGTCGAGGACCCTCGTTGTTCGCTGCCACGGGGACCTGGCTGGCAGTGATTCCTTTTTCTCCGAAAACGAGGTCAGAGAAGAAGCCTCCTGCGAGTCTGTTTTCGGGCTGGGCCGGCTGCTCTCGCGTCTTGTGCCGTGGCGGCAGCCAGCGTGCATGGTCCACTGCTGGGCTGAGACACGGACCGACACGCTCCAAGATGGCGTAACGGCCGCTGGCTCCTTTGCTCGTCGGCAGTCTGTTCCCCTAAGCGCCCCCCTTTTGTAGAGGAAGGCTGTTCCGGCTCGCCGAAGGGGCCGGAACAGTCTCGCTTACGACGGGGGATCGGCCGTGCTGCATGCGATGCCCGTGTATAGGAGCGACGAAAACGCTGCGCCCACGTCCCGTTAGAAAAAAAAACAACAACAAAAACAGGAATAAAAAATAATTATATATATGTATAACGGAAAGCTACGTGCCCGATCCAAGCCTAACAGTGAAATTAAGCTTCCAGAATTTACCCATTTGAGCTTGGGTAGTAGTAAAACGAGTCCGAGATGAGGGACATTCTATGCTATAGGCTTGCGTCATGCATGCATCATAGTGGATGGATACGTCGAAAAAGAGAGAGAGAGAGAGAGAGAGAGAGTACGGCGGCGATCTTGAGAGTTAGCTTGTCGCGGAAGAGGAACGCTATGATGGAGTGACATTCAGTGGCACTAGCTGTGAATAGTGCAGACGATTGAGACAAAGTGACAACCAGAAACGCATAACGAGATGTTTTCAGCCAAAGAATCAGTGGGTAGCCACGAGTGACCAAGAACCTGCCAGGAGTTGTGTCAAAGAGTAACGACACGAATTTAGGTATCGCAAAACGCACAGTCAGTGCCGCCTCTCATTGGCGGGAATTCGTAGCGTCATAACTCATAATCGAAGGGAGAGCGTTATGATGGCTAGTGACTTTCCCCTGGTGGAGAGGAAGCTACTGCAGTTATTGAATGCCTAAGAAGCTCAGGGCGTCTCTCAGTATGCTCACGCTTTCTGCTTCGCTCTTCAGAACCTTTATCGGCAGATGGCGCAAATCTCAATGGGCGCGGAGCAAGCATAGAATGCTCTGGACTGGCTACGTTTTCAAGCCTGGCGTCCAGACTGGAGCCCCATGCGGTCAAGCACGTGCAGCATGCGCATGAAAATGGCTTTGGCGGGCTTGTAATATACCTTTTTCCGAATTACCCAAGCATCAAAAAGAATGCCGGGAACGTATGTCCACGCACCGCGGGTGCTGGCGTCTTGATATCTAACTTTTCGAAAGCAAACATCTAAAACAAATGGCACTACTCACGCGCGTTCCACGGGGAAGGCGGGCACGTGCAGCGCATGTACCTACGTTCCCAACATTCCCTTTGATGCTCGGGTAGTTTAGCGAAAGGTCGATTTCACGTGCTTTCTCACACGAACAAGAACATGGCGGCATCCAGGTGCCCTGTTTGCAATCGTCTATACAGGACATACTTTCTCCAGTCCGAGACACTCGTGTGTCGGTGTCATTCCAAGTGACGGGCTCATTGGATAACGCGCATTCGCAGACACGCGCCGTTCTGCACTCGGACAGGGTGGTCCGTAATAATGTCGCTGGAGCACCGCAACGACCGAAATCTTCGAGCGATGCGATCAGTAGCATCTCTCGCAGAGAGAGTCGTCCCGCTTTCGGGGTGGGGTCGACGATTAGAGCCGGAGCGAAAGTCGGAAAACTGGTTCAGCGCACTCTCCGGCGTCTGGGGGATTGTTGTAGCTTATTTTTCTTTCATCGCTCGCGGCCACCGATGGCCAGCTGGAAAATAAGAGGAGGTTCTCCAACGAGGAAATGCCTCCTCGTTTTCTCGATCGTGTAGATAGATATTCGAGAGGACTGCTTTCTCTCTCGTGAAGGAATCGGACATCTCATTTATAAGTGCTTCAGACATCACATTGTAATTGTAAATGGCATCCATCGAACACGTGCAACACGAGTAAGTGAGCAAAGGTCCTGGCAAAGTGGAAATATGAAAACCTTTATGAATAGCGTCGCGAACTAAGACGATGTCCATCGTTGTCAAGCTGCCAAAGAAACTATCTCGTCTCGGGATAGCTAGAGAAAGACTTTACGCATGTGTTAACACGTTGCTAACAATCGTCGGGAGTGACTCTACTTAACTGGTGACGCGTGTCAATAATTCTTATGCTAATGACGAACGCGAAAGCCCTGACGAAACATGCTCAATCAGCGTGCACTAAAATTTGTCCAGGGTTCACAAAAGGAGTGCAGAAACGAGAAAAAAATATTTGTGAAGTATGAGCAGATTAACAGCTGTTCGCGGTACCGAGGTGGACAGCATGTACCGCGAGCTACGCCTTTTCGAGGTGAGACTAACTAGTCGACGCCCGCAATGTCTTCCACAAGTGTGTACAGAGGATCTGGTTTTCGAAGCTACAGACAGAAAAGATCATGATTGGGTTGTTGGGGCGTGCGGACAAGGAAGGCATGCCGCGGAAGTATAGGAGGACGGGTACTCACGGCACGGGCACTTCAACTGGCTTTTTGACGATGATCTCCTTGAACACGGGAACCTTGACTGGAACGGCGACAGGCCTCGGGACGTGGATGACCTTGTGCACTGGGACAGGCACGTACTTGGGTACCTTGACAGGTACCGGGACGGGTACCACCCTGGGTACCGGCACGTGCTTGTAGATTGGCACGGGCTGGTGTTTGATGACAGGCACGGGCACCCCCACGCTCACGTAGTGGGGCACCGGCACCGGCTTGGGCACCGGGATGGACTTGTAGACGGGCACCAGCTTGGGGATCTTCTTGATGACGGGTACCTTGACCGGAACCGGGACCGGATGCGGCACGTGCACCACGTGGGGCACGTGAATGATTTTGGGCACGGGATAGGGCTTGGGCACGGGCACCGGGTGCGGGTACGGGACCACCTTGTGGACTAGCTTGACGATCTCGTCCGGCTTCCAGGGCTGGTGGTAGCCAGCTAGGGCGGCGCCCAGAACGCCCGCCAGAACGGCCAGGGTGAGAGTGCTCGCTCTCATGGTGCTCGCCTGCGAAGAGAAAGTGCGCCGCGCACGGTCAGGACCAGGGGCGCTAGCCCCGTGCCAACTCTCGGCCCCTTTAGCCACCGGACGCACTGGACGGTGCGCGGGGGAGCGCGCGCAGTCCAGCGCGAGAGTGAGCCGCGCGATGAGGACTCTCCGCTGTCCGGAATAGCGTTATGCGATAGACAACCGGGAACACGACCAAGAGGCCGGAAGACAGGGCCGAGAGAGCGGGACGTGCCGCGCGAGCCACAGCGCGGGTTCACAGGCGGTCGAGACCCCGGTGCTTCGACAGCGAGCGCGTGAGTGCGCGGTTCACTTTGGCCGATCACAGTGCTGGAGGTATCCAAGGCGCTGGGCGTTTTCTCCGGGGGAATCCGACGAAGCGGTCACTCCGAATCACTCACCGTTTTGGGGGGGAAACTGATTTTTGTGGGCGTCTGTGTAGGGGACGACTGCACTGCGCGTTTGCTACGGCCGCCGGCGAGCCAAGCTGTGACGACGTTGGAAGGCCCCCGCTGCCTTAAGTAGTCCCTCTCTTCGCGGCGGCCGTTCGCGGGTGACCTACATCGCGATCACTGCTCTAATCCCGATAGGACGGCCGGGCGGGGAGAGGGGGGCGCCCTCACTCGCAGAATGCGATGTCCATTTCACTCGGAGCATGCGCCAGGAAAGGGGAGTCCTCTGGTCGCCAATCCCGCGCACCCCGGTGCGGCCGGGAGGAGAAACTGCGGCCGGGGGAGGGGAGAGGACCCCCGGAGAAAATATTTTTGGCAGTGGCCGGCCCGCCGTGCGGCGGCGCGGGCGCCCTAGCTAGGTTAAAGGCCCAATTCCTGGTAGCAACCAGCGGCGCTGGTTGGCTCCGGGAGAAGACGCTGGGAGAGGGCTGACCCACTTGTGCCGTCCTGGTCGGCGCCCACCGAGGGAGCCACTGGGCCTCGCCGTCGGCCGCTACCGCGGGAGAAAGTGGACGATCTGTTCCCATCTGGCGGCTTCCGGCGGCAGTGTGGTCTTCGGTTCGGGGTCGCTGCCCCGACGCGCACGTCCACTGGCGACCGGCGTCGCGTGGGGGAGTCGAGTGTCGCGGTCTGGGTCCGGGAAGACGCTCCAACCCTAGGCCTTGGGAATCGGTTTTGGCAGTCACGCTTGTGCTTGTGTTCCGGTGCGACAGCGATGGGTACTCAGTCGACGGCGAGAGCGGTGTGCAGGCGTATTAGCGGTCGAAATGGGCAAGATTCACGTAAACAATATGGACAATGAGAAGCGTCTGGAGAAACATCAAGACGGTAGTAGTGTTACTGGTGTCTTGATTTTCGGATGTTCCGGATTTCCAGATTTATTTACATGCATAACTATACAACCTAATAATAGGACTCCACCCTCCCTGTAAAAAAAAAAAAAACGCAATGCAAATAGTTTGGCGGTATTGTAGTGCCGTTGCCACAACGAGATAGACATTGCTATTTTTTCTCTCTCTTCTGTGAATGTTGCTTTTAGCATCCTGGGCTGTTTGCATGCAAGCGCCGTGGCACTTTCCGCACTTACGTGTTTAGTTCAACTATCACGCGCCACAACCTGTCGTGAAAGACCGACCCGTAGTCTCTGAACATGCCCCCAGTGCCGAGATCTCGTCAGAATCATCCCGACTCAGCGAGGCGGAAAAGAAGAACGACATCTCTTTAGCCGCATTGTTCTCCATCCAGAGGGCGCGCAGTACCAACTCTTAGGTTCTTTGCACTGCGGAGTGAATATAGATTTCACATTTAAATATTCTAAGCTTAAATGGTAAAACAAAATGGCTAGGTGGCGTAAGCTACCGCCCGATCCAAAGGGCTCAGCCGTATTCATCCATCCATCCATCCATCCATAGGTTCCCCCCTACTCGAACCCTCTCGAGCCTTCTGCTAAAGCGTGATCGAGCGCCGCCAGTTCATTGACAGACTTTCCGTCTTTTGGCCGAGTCTACAAGCCGGCGGGGGACGCGAGGACGCGCTCGACGGGGTCGTGGGGGTCATTCAAGGTCATCGGCGACGTCGAGAGGTCCCGCCGCCTCCTGGAAAAGCCGTCATTTACATAACGAGTTCGTCGGTGACGATGGCTCGAGTGCCTGGCGGCGAAGACCTCCTCCTCGAGCTTCCTTTGTTTCCCCGCAACTGGGGTAATGCGGTAGTTGCTCATTTCCGCGTCTTCAAATATCTCTCGAGGCGCGTACGAGACGAGAAGGTTCGCCCGCGCTTGTGACCCTCGCTTCGTAGGAAACGCGCACGCCTAGGAACAACGCGAAAGCAAAATGGAGAACGCAAGCTTACATGGCTTATACAATATACGTAGTCGTCTCGATATTATGCGAGGTTAATTTGCTAACCCAAAGGAAAAAAAAAAGAATACGAACTTCGCGCAAGTACCGGTTACCTGACTTAATCACACCCTTCCGCACAAACTGCGCGCGATCATTTTCCACCCCATTCAAAATTTGGGAATCGGTTGGATGGATGAATGTTAATGTAATGGGCTATGCCCTTTGTGACGGGCGGTAGCTTGCGCCACCTGGCCTAAGTGTAAAAAAAGACAAACATACGAATCCTTCCGCCCTTCTAAGCCAATTTTCTCCCCCTATCACCAGGCAGTGTGGGGGCAAAGATTACATTGTCGCCTGCCATCACGATTTCCCCGCTGACTTTGGCGGGGAAGTTCTTCCGTTAAATATAGCTGGGAGATTCCTCCGCTACAGAAATAGGGTAAATCCCTCTGCTAAATTTAAGGTGGAAATTTCTTCTCATGGGGGACGTTTCGTATGACATCAATGTTACGTGACACTGCAATTTTAACAGCAAGCGTTTTCAAATAACTTTAGCGAGCCACACTGAATTTTCGGCTAAGCTTCTCTTACTTCCGCAGCAAGGTCCCCTCGGATATACTCGTAGTATTGCAGTAACTGATCCAAGTACAAAACCGGGATGTTCTTGTTTCGGGTTGTCTGCAAATAGCCAAGTAAAGTAGGTCATGGGAATGTACTCGTTGTCACCTCAAGAGAAAAAAAAACGCCTTCTTTTAATAATCTCAACGCTAAGCGAAGTAGTTCTTAAACAATTCAATAATAATAAAAAACGATGTTTTTCGTGTTTATAGAGTGTTCATGATTTTATTTAAAAAATATAACGGTTTTGAAATTCAGATAAAGGTGTCTTAACAGCGTAAAGGGGAAAACTAGTGACGTTCCGCAGGAGCGTAACTCTTTTACCACACCTTTTGAGGTGGAAATGCGAAGAATTCGTCTGTGTAAGGCGTTTGCTAGGAAGGTCATTATTAGACCCAATTCCCACAGTACCACGCAGCGTATAGCAATAAGAAAGAGAATGCAAATGCAATACGACTTCCTGAGAGAGAAAGAGGCGGAAGCTGGCGGTTTAAATCCGAATACTTTCACGAGATTACGTCATTACGTCATTATTACGTCCCGGTAATATTTTCTGTTGCATACATTCGTTGAAATGCGTTTTATTCATTTTTTTTATTTATGTTATCTTTACGGCCTTGTTGTTGTTATGCGTTTTGTTCCGCTCCCAGCGAGCGAGATTTGAGCGGATTGTAGTTGTGAAAATCTTTCCGATGGGAAAATGTCGCCAAGGAGCAAAGCAAGTGCGCTTGATCCTCACTCCTAATTTGTTTATCTTTTTCTTTTTTACTTTTTTGTGCCAAGTCTATACCCTTCGGGCAATAAAGTTTGGTATAACAGGTGACGCCATCTCATGGGAAATTTTCGCAACTCTCAGACGGCCCGCGGTCGCAATAATTGGACCCGATCTCGAACCTGAACGCTCGTTTTTCTTTAATTTTCTTTTCTGCGACGTTTATTGAGCGAGGAGAAAACTAACGCGTGTTTCATTGGTCGTACACGTCAGGGATTCGTTCTAAACGGTATTCGCGCAAAGTACAAAAATTGTTGCACCGTTTAATGACAGGAGTTTGGAAGAAAAGCACTGTAACCGACGAATAATTTCATTTACGTGATTAAGAAATGTTTCGAAATATTTACTACGTTATAATTATTTGTAATATTTGCTTATATAATCACGCGTAGAGGAGAAAAGGCACCAGTTTTTTCCCATTAGGAATACATTACCAGAAGTCAAGTTTCGACTGGTTGCTGTCTGCATTATGGTATTTGTGCCCGCCAAGGTTTTTTTTTTTTTATTATTATTTGTGCGTGACATATGAAAGCTTAACTATACCGGAACACAATTTGCGGCTCGAAATTCGTTTTCTTTCTGCCCGAAAACCGCCGATTGAGAACTGGCCGGCTCGAGTCGCGCTCACTCTCTTTTCCGTGGTCACGTGCCGTTCTCTATGGTTTAGACACAACCACCAAATTTAATCAAAGTCGTGGGTCATCGAAGGCACACACTCAATATTAAAAATAGAAAAATAAATATGAAACCCATTTTTGTGCTTTCTAAAAAGCTGCAAAGACGTTAATTGAAAAAAAAAAAAAAAAAAAAAAAGATTGCACAGGGAACCGGGACCACTCTGTGCATTCTCTGCGTAATTCTCGATATGGCGTCGTATCGCGGGAGTCGCGGGCTGGACGGCTGAACGGAGCGGACAAAGCGATGGCGGCGGCGACAAAGCGACGGGCGAGGGACTTCTACTTTAGAGCTGTTTTTCGCGGTACCGGCGAATCTGTCTAGCATCGAAAGAGAAATCGTTCACCGATCAAAATAATTAGATTTTATTCCCGTACGACACGACCGACCATTAAGCGAATTCAAACGAAGACATCCTCGAGTCTTGGCCCCTTCTCCTGGCTGAAGACATCGCTTGTGTTATGAACACAAATTTGTGAGAGCTTGAAAAACGCGCAAACGTCAAACACTAAGTGCTTGACTTTTTCGTTTTCTGTGTGACGTGCTACGTGCGTAATTTCGTCTGCCTCGCACAAAAAAAGAAAAAAAAAAGGACACTGTTGGGTGTAGACATATGACTTCTGGCAACCCTCTCCTCCATCTACGGCTATGTTCCAAATCTTACCCGAGTAACCTGTCTCCTACGTCAGCGGGTAATATACCACGTGACATCGCGAAAAAACGATCCGCGACTCGATTTTGGAACGGCCGGAATTATCACCTGAATACTTCGCCGATTGGCCTCGGCTTGGGCTACGGCTAAAATAATACCTAGCAGCGATGGCGAAAAATAGCAGACGATCTGTTTTGATCACGGAGAAAACACTCGAGGAAAGAATAATATTCATCGCTGCGAAGTTTTTCCTCGACAGTGACGAAGCGGTGTTTTCCGAAATGGCTCCACCAATTCCTTTTGTTCACATTACTCGCTTCGGTTTGACATCAAAAATGTGTTTTATTAATCAGCGCGATTGGCTATAAGTCTAGTCCAGGTGCACTAAACGCATACGTTGCACGTATCGTAATTTGCACCGATTTCGTTTCGCGGAAGTTGCTTCCATACGGTGTAGCGGTACAGCGCAGGGGGCTTTCTCAACTATGATACATAACTTACGCTCGATTTGACGCGAATATGATTACGAAATCACAAAGACAACTTTCAAACCGCTATAGGCAATTTCTTGGGGA